AAGTTGCCCAGGCCGGTCTTGAACCCATGGGCTCAGGCAATCCTCTCACCTCAGCCTCCCAAAATGCCGGGATTACAGGCTGAGCCACCGAGCCTGGCCAAGGCCTGAATTTTAACCCCCTCACACTTACCGCCTCTAAGCCACTCCACAGAAGCAAAGGTGGGGAGATGGAGGATGGAGAGCGGAAGGACAAAGCCCTGCCTGTGGCCAACCCCACCTGGCTGGGTCACTGGCTCTGCAGCATGGGATCCTGTTTACCTGGACACCCTCTCTAATGTCTGGGACAGCACCTCAGAGTTGTGTTTCTTTGGTTTCAAATTAGGTACCAACTTCTCTGAAAGAGGCTCTTGGATGCCTCTCTCAGTCTTTCTACCCTCTCAGCTATCGTCAAATTAGGGACCAACTCTGACAGAGGTTCTTGGATGCCTCTTTCAGTCTTTCTACCCTCTCAGCCATCGTCTCTCAGAGCTGCGAATCTGGCCTCTACTTCCTCACACTGGTGGTTGCCGTGTCTCCCAGGCCCTTCGTGGTAGGTTTGAAAGACAGAGCACACACAAATGTCAATTTCTTGCCTGTTGGAACTGCAGCAAGAAGTCTTGCTCTAATCCTCTGAATCACCTTCCCACCTGTTCTTTAAGTTGAAACATGCCAAGCAGCTCTTTTTTTTTTTTTTTGGAGTTGGAGTCTCACTCTGTTGCCCAGGCTGGAGTGCAGTGGCATGCTCACAGCCACCGCAGCCTTGACCTGCTGGGCTCAGGTGATCCTTCCTCCTCAGCCTTCCAAGTAGCTGGAACTACAGGCACGTGCTGCCATGTCTGGCTAATTTTTTTTTTTTTTTTGAGTTGGAGTCTCACTCTGTCACCCAGACTGGAGCGCAGTGGCTGCTCCCGGCCACCACAGCCTCAACCTACTGGGCTCCGGCGATCCTTCCGCCTCAGCCATCCGAGGAGCCAGAATTACAGGCGTGTGCTACCACGCCCAGCTGATTTTTGATTTATTGTAGAGATGAGGTCTCGCCAAGTTGTCCAGGCGGGTCTCGAACCTGCGGGCTCAGGCAATCCACTCACCTCAGCCTCCCAAAGGTGCGGGATTACAGACTGAGCCACTGAGCCCAGTCGGCTAATTTTTAAAATTTATTTATAGAGATGAGGTCTTGCCAAGGTGCCCAGGTTGGTCTCAAATCTGTGAGCTCAGGCAATCTTCTTACCTTGGCCTCCCAAAGTGCTAGGATTACAGGCGTGAGCCACTGTGCCTGGCCCAAGCACCTTTTTTTTTTTTTTTTTGAGTTGGAGTCTCACTCCTTCGCCCAAGCTGGAGTGCAGTGGCACATACACTTACAGCCACCCCAGACCTTCTGGGTTCCAGTGATCCTTCCGCCTCAGCCTTCTGAGTAGCTGGAACTACAGACATGCGCTACCACACCCAGCTATTTTTTATTTTATTGTAGAGACGTGCTTTTACCAAGTTGCCTGGGCTGGTCTCAAACTGGCGGGCTCAGGCAATCCACTCACCTCGACCTCCCAAAGTGCTGGGATTACAGGCTGAGCCACCGAGCCCGGCCTGATGATATATTTTTAAAAAGATGTGCACCAAGGGCCTACCTTGGGCCAGGCACCGCGCTAAGGACCAGGGTACAGCGGTGAGCCTGGCTGGTGTGTTCACGCGTCCTAAGGCACATACCACCCAGGGAGCAAAGGCTGGTCAGGGAATGGGCGATTATTGGGCAGGTGATCCTTGGGCTGCCAGCGGTGGTGCGGGGCTGGGGGGCCTGTGGGGAGGGGGTAGCCCTTTTGAACTCGAGGAGGGTGGGGATAGTGTTTGGAAAGGAGGGTGTCTCTACTGAGACTTCCAGTTCCTTCTGAGTGGGGGCACACTTTATGACCCTGTTATGTAGTCTGAAATCCTTGGAGCATCAACAGTAAGTAGCTCCAGCCTGAAGCATCCATCTTGGAACATACCGTATTCCAAATCTGACTTTTATCTTCTCTGTGAGGGCTCGCGACTCTGTGAAAGGGGGACAAATTGTCCCGACTCTGTGAAACAGGGAGTATTGTCCCCAATGTTTACAGAGGGGAAGACCAAGACTCAGAGTGACAGAAAACCAGGAGCAGGGAGGCCATTCAGCAAGGACGTTTCCAGGTAAGACCCCGGGAGGGAGAGGGAGAGAAAGGGATTTATTCACGCTGTTTGTGGTCCCTGCCCTGGAGAGTGGTGCCTTGGGGAAGGAAAGCTCTATAATTTGGAACTTCCCGCTTTTCTTTCTTTCTTCTTCAGTCCTCCTGGGTAGATGGGTATTCCTGACATGGTGCTGACTTTCGAGTGGAATCTTCAGGCAGTCATCTGGTGAGGAGCGGGGCTGTATCTTACTCCAGGAATGAGGCCTCTCGTTTCTAGTGCCCAGACCTCATGAGTCAAAATTAGCTTCAGCTCAGGACTCAGAATTGTCTGCCAATGCTCTGCGCAGGTACTAGGGTTGCTATTTTGGGCAGGGAGGGGCCTGCCATCAAGGAGCTCTTACACTCATCACCCAGCTACAGCCCCAGGTGTTGACTCTACAGGACTAAGGGAGGAACCCCAGCCTTCTCAGTGTGACTGAGAGTTCCCCTGAGAATGCTCTTCACTCTGCTCACAGGAAGTTCACGGTGGAGGAGATAACCCAGAGACAGAACATCACAGGAAGTGGGTTCTGCGGTGGGAGGCTGCTGGGCGCTAAGCTGTGAACCCCAGGGGGCCTGAGCTCCACAAAGCCCTTCTCCCACGCCTTCCTTCTAGACTCGCCTTCCTTCTAGTCTCAGGTGGTGAGGACGGACTGGGGAATTCTGAGCCCCAGAGGCCTCAGGCCCTTCTGGGGGAGTGAGACACCTCCCCTAAGAAATGCCCCTCCTGAAAGTCCTCCCTGGTCACACCCCTGAGACCAGTGGACATAGGACCCAGAACTGAGGACACCAGAGCTGTGCATGGACATACAGATGAGCCAATTCAAACTCTCTAATGTCCCTGTAATAACAGTCTTTTTTTTTTGAGTTGGGGTCTCACACTGTCACCCAGGCTGGACCTGTTGGGCTCAGGTGACCCTTCTGCCTCAGCCTTCCAAGTAGCTGGAACTACAGGTGCATGCGCAGCTAATTTTTTGTAGAGGCAAGGTCTCGCTGTGTTTCCTAGGCTGGTTTCGAACTCCTGGCCTCAAGCAATCCTCCCACCTCAGCTTCCCAAAGTGCTGGGATTACAGGCATGAGCCACCACCACGTTAAGTATAAAATTATACTTAAAAACAAAAGCATGGTGTTTTCTTATGGAAAAGTATGATGGTTCCTTTAAAAAGTTTAAGATAGGATTACCATAAGATTCAGCAACTCCATTTCTGTTTATATGCCCCAGAGAATTAAAAATGGGGACTCAAAACAGACATTTGGACACCCACATTCATAAGCGTATCATTGGCAAGAGCTAAAAGGGAATCAGCACAACTGCCTATTGGCAAATGAATGGACAAAAAAATGTGGCATATACACGTGATGGAACATTATTCCGCCTTGAAAAGGAAGAAAATTCTGACAGATGCTAAAACATGGGTTCTTGAAGGCTTTATGCTAAATGAAATAAGCCAGTCACAAAATAACAAATAGTACATGGTTCCACTTATATGAGTTACTTAGAGTAATCAAATCTGTAGACAGAAAGTCGAATGGTGGTGGCCAGGGACTGGGGAAGTCAGTGTTGAACAGGTAGAAAGTCCCAGTGTGAGAAAACACCGTTCTGGAGATGAGTGGTGGTGTCAGTTGCACAACAATATGAGTGTATTTAATGCCACTAAACTGTGTACTTAAAAATGGTCAAGATGAGGACAGGTGTGGTGGCTCTCACCGGTAATTCCAGCATGTTGGGAGGCAGGAGAACCGCTTGAGACAAGGAGTTCCAAGACCACCTTGGACAACATAGCAAGAGCTTAAAAAAATTAGCCCGGTGTGGTGGTACATGCTTGTCGTCCCTGCTATTTGGGAAGGTGAGGCGGGAGGATTGCTTGAGCCCAGGAGTTCAAGGCTGCTGTGAGCAGTGATCATGCCACTGTACTCCAGCCTGGGCAACAGTGTGAGACCCTGCCTCCAAAAAAAAAAATGATGAGGATGATATATTTTATAACACACACGAAAACCCTAACACTGCCCATCGCTTATGAAGGCCTCACACTGCAGTCCCACTCACTTCCCTAAACTTACTCTATGCCCACGCCCTCTCTGCCTCCTGGCTCACTGCCTTTCTGCCACACTGTCTTCCTTCTGTCCCATTACCATGCCCAGACTCAGATTTTTGCACTGGCTGCTCCCTTTGTGACTCCTGTGACGAAGAGCTCCCAGTTCCTCCCTAGCCTATGGCCTGTGCTCTTTTCTTTCTTTCTCTAATTTAGGTAGGCCCGAGAAGCACCAGACCACGAGTGAACCCTGGCTGTGGCCACGACCACTCAGAAATGAAGTCTGTGCCCTGGTTCTGACTCTGAGGTGGGAAAGAAAAAGCCCTCCCCCACCCCCCACCAGCACTGGGCCTCCCTGCCCCCCAGTATCAAATGCCCTTATACTCATGGTCATAGGGCTGCTCCTGGGTGCCCGGGGAGGAGGACAGAGAGCGGGGACATTGTATTTCAGCAGACACAGCCTTGTTTGTCTGTGTGTAATGAGAGCTGGTTAATCTGATCAAACAGTCAAACGTGCAGGAAATTTTATCCTGCTGTGGACTGCAGAGATTTATGACCATGGATCTGAGAGTTTTTTCCCCTTTTCCCAATGAATTGGACATTGCTTAAAGTATCTCGAGAGCCTGGAAGCCCTTAGGGTGGGCTGTTTACCACAGGGTCCACGAATGCCCTAGAATTACATGCAAAAATGTGGGTGTTGCATACTGTGGGCAATGGTGCACTATTCTAGCTAGAGGGGAATAGCTGTTAACAGATTCTCAAGGGAGGCCAGGACCCAGAAAAATAAGAATGACTGGTTTAGGTTTTTCAGGCAGGTGATTCAGAGATGCTGAAACTGGTCTTAGGAAAGAGTTCAGGGCAACAAGGACAGTCAGCCAGAGAGAAGGTGAAAATGTGTCTGGTGGCCTGCTAGGGGCAGGCATTTCAGAGGGGCTACTCGGGCTACTTCAAATTCCACCTTACTAGGCCAGGCTGTTCTGCCTTTTTTTTTTTTTTAAGACAGAGTCACTTAGGCTTGAGTGCAGTGGCATTATCACAGCTCCTTGCAGCCTCCAACTCCTGGGCTCAAGCAATCCTTCTACCCTAGCCTCCAGAGTAGCTAGGACTACAGGCCTGCACCACCACGCCTGGCTAATTTTTAAATTTTTTGTAGAGATGGGGTCTCACTATGTTGCCCAGGCTGGTCGCAAACTCCTGGCCTCAAGCGATCCTCCTGCCTTGGCCTCCCAATGTGCTGGGGTTACAGGCATGAGCCACCACCCCTGGCCTGCTCTGCCCTATAGATGCTGCCTGTGCCAACCTGGCATTATGTCACTTGTCTAGTGGTCAGAGGAATTGCTCACCTGGGTACTTGTACCTTATGGACTCACAAAGTGATGGGTGATAAGTGAAAAGAGTTGAGAACTCTCACTACATGTGTGACTCGGGTGAAGGAGCTTCCAAGAGGTGGGTAATGTGGGGCTGAGGGGAGGAGGGGTACATCAGAGCCCAGACGGAGAGACAGGCAGTTAATAGATGAGCTCCCGTTCCACACATCCTCCACCCCATCACTCTGGAGACTCCCTAGTGGCCACTTTCAGACTCCTTCCGTCTCTTCCAAACTCTTCGCTATTCCCTTTCCAGAAGCCTCACCTCATACTCCTTGTCCACCAGACCCTTCCACTGCATCCCGGACACTTGCTTGTCTTTGCTTTGTAAGTACTGCTAAGTGTCTGTCTTCCCTGGGAAAATATGAGCTCCTAAAGAAATGAACTTGGTCGGGTGTGGTGGCTCAAGTTTGTAAACCCACTTTGGGAGGCCGAGGTGAGGGGATTGCCTGAGCCCATGTGTTCAAGAACAGCCTGGGAAACCTGGCAAGATCTCATCTCTACAATAAATCAAAAAATTAGCCGGGCATGGTAGCATGCACATGTAGTTCCGGCTATTTGGAGGGTTGAGGTGGAAGGATGGCCTGAGCCCAGCAGGGCGACTCTGGGGTGACTGTGAGCATGTCACTGCACTCCAGCCTGGGTGACGGAGTGAGACTCCAACTCAAAAAAAAAAAAAAGAAATGAATTCACCAGTGCTCATGCCCAGCCCCTCCTTCCGCTGCCCTAGTCTTCTTTCAGCATCACCCCTAACCCGGAGGCAGGAGGGTGGCTGGGGGAAGGCCAGGAGAGGGTCTTACGCTGGGAAGCGCAGAGTCAGTTCCTTCCCTTGTTATGGGAGCTTGTGCACAGGAGGGCCACCCGGGAGAGTCCCAGGCACCGCATGCTGCCTGCGAGGGAGGGCACAGCTTCCGGACACTCCCAGGCTAAGGATACATCACTCCCACAGTCCCTTCCCCAGTTCCGGCCTCGTGATCCCACTTTTGAGTGACTATAAGAACCCTGTTCAGTCTCTGGGTCCTCTGCCTCTCTTCTTGCCAGTTACCCACCTCCAAAGCTGCCATCCTTCTGAAACAAGGTCACATTCAGATAAAGCATCTTCCGTGATGCCTCACTTCGTTCTAAATACTTTTAGCATGGCCTGACTGTCTCATTTCCTGCCACACACCTAAGCTTTAGCCACACAGATCTCCTTGACACACACACACTCCTGTCTCTAGGCCCTGTTTACGCCATGCTCTCTCACGGGAATGCCCTCTGTCTGCTCTTCTCTCCAGACACTCCTCCTTTAAGGCCACTCTGGACCAGTCCCAGCCACGCCTGACAACACACTCCCATAGTGCATTGCTCCCCTACAATGGACACAACAAAGTGCACGCTCATGGCGCTCTTACTCAATGCCAAGCACTCGGGCACATGAATGATCTCATTTATGACCTGTCTCAGATCCCTCAGCCACCATGGAAGGGAGTCAATTGTCCTCCTTTTCAGAAGAGGAAAGGAAGGTTCAGAGAGGCCTGATGCTTGCCTAAGGTCACAGAGCTAGGAAAGGTCAGAGCTGGAAATTAAATTCCTAGGTGTTGGCGCTCCATGCCCAGACCTTTCACATCTGTGGAAGGTGTGCTACGGCCATGGCTCTGCACTTGGTGTTGTAAATGGCCTTGTGGCCTACGAAGGCTGCTGGCATTTTCAGGGCGAGATCCATTCCATTTGTCACGGTCTCCCCTATGCCTGGGTCAGAGCCAGGCATGGAGTACTCAGTAGATGTTTGTGGAATGGAAGGGTGGATGTTTGAGGAGCTGCCTCACTGACCTGTTAGCACCTATAGCAAGAGAGGCTTGAAGTGCAGTCATCAGAGTAGAGAGTGACCTAGCAGACAGGGCTCAGAAGGAAAGGCCTATGCCAACCCTCCGCCTCACTCTCCCAGCATTTCTGGGTTGGGGTTGGTCTTGGCAGTCATAAGGGAGTCTTGGAGGCCGAAGTGGCAATGCTCTTAGAGCTCTCTGGGTGAGATGTGAAGGACATCTGGGATCCGGGGATGGGGTTGACCCGTTCCCTGTCCCCCACTTGTCTTTTTCCTGCTCCTGGCCTTTATGATGAGCTGGGACATCAGGCAACAGGCTGTGAGGTGGTACCTGTCCCCTGAGGGGACCCGCCCTCCCTTACTCACGGGAGACCCCAGCCTGCTCCTCAGGGCTCCCCTCCATCCTCACCCTCAGTGCTGGCATCATCCACCAGTATGATCTCCTTCAGTAAGATGGCAGGGGTGGTGTGCAGGACGCTGTACACTGTCCGCAACAGCGTGGACCAGGCCTCGTTGTGGAACACAATGATGACGCTGGTCGTGGGCAGTGGGGGACAGCGCCGGAACTTCTGGTCCACACACCTGGAAGGACGAAAGCATGGTTACATGGCCGGGTGTGGTGGCTCACGCCGTAATCCCTACACTTTGGGAGGATTGCTTGAGGTCAGGAGTTCGAGACCAGCCTGGGCAACTTAGCGAAACCTCATCTCCACAAGAAATTAAAAAATAGCCAGGTGTAGTGGTGCACACCTGTAGTCCCAGCTACTTGGGAGGCTGAGAAGGGAGGATTGCTTGAGCCCAGGTCGAGGCTGCAGTGAGCTGTTACTGGGCCACTGCACTCCATCCTGGAGACAGAATGGGGCCCCGACTCAAAAAAACAAAAACAAACAAAGCCAAAGCAAGTATGGACACAGCTGGGCACAGCAGCTCATGCCTGTAATCCCAGCACTTTGGGAGGCAAAGGTAAGAGGATTGCCTGAGTCCAAGGGTTTGAGAGCAGCCTGGGCAACTTGGAGAAATCTGATCTCTACAATAAATTTATATTTATTTATTTTTGAGTTGGAGTCTCACTCTGTCACCCAGATTGGAGTGCAGTAGCACACCCACGGCTACCTCGACCTGCTGGGCTCCGGCGAGCCTTCCGCCTCAGATTTCCGAGTTGCCAGAACTACAGGCACGCATTACCACACCCGGCTAATTTTTGATTTATTGTAGAGACAAGATCTCACTAAGTTGCCCGGGCTGGTCTTGAACCTGCAGGCTCGGGCCATCTACTCCCCTCGGCCTCCCAAAGTGCTGGGATTACAGGCTGAGCCACCAAACCCGGCCTCCACAATAGATTTTAAAAAAAATTAGCCGGGAGTGGTGGCGCATGCCTGTGGTTCCAGCTAATTGGAAGGCTGAGACAGAAGGATCACCTGAGCCCAGCAGGTCAAGGCTGCAGTGGCCGTGGGTGTGCTACTGTACTCCAGCCTGGGCAACAGAGTGAGACTCCTACTCAAAAGGAAGGAAGGAAGGAAGAAAGAAGGAAGGAAGGAAGGAAGGAAGGAAGGAAGGAAGGAAGGAAGGAAGGAAGGAAGGACGGACACAGCTCTCCAGGTGCTGGAAGTGCCAGGGTGGGGAGAGCTCTGTCCAAAGATGCTCAAACCATCTTCTGCTTCTCTGAACCATAGCCTACACTCACTCTCTGTTGCAGTTGGGAACAGCGGCTCCCTGTTCCTGTCTCCCCACCACATTTGCCACCCACTCTGAGCCTCTGCACAGGTTCTAGCCAAATCGCTCCCAAACTCAACCCCCCAAAGCCGGCTTGGTGCCCAGCTGTGAGGCGGAGGCTCCCCTCCCCCTTCTCTCATCTGCTCTCTGTTGTCCGGCTAGGAGTTCCCAGGGCCCATACTTTCTCCTAACTGTGTTCCGCGTACAACATCATCCAAACCAGAGGTCCCAGAGGGCAAGTGATAAAGAGCAAAACTGACATATAAGAGAAGTGTCTATGATTTCCACACTCAAGAGAGGAAAGGCTCTTCTCTTCACAACATAGGTTTCCTCTCTAATCCATTTCCTCACTGGCTTGACACTGCTATCACAAACAATTTCCTGTGGTCTTTTTTCTATCCTCATCCACTCCCACTGTTGTGGGGCATTTGGCCTCGCTGCCACCTTCTTGACACTCCATCTTGGGGGGCGGGGTGGGGATGGGGTGAAAATGTGTGCATCCTGGATCGCAAGGAATCATGTGGATTCACACTCCTTCTTGACCTCCTCTGCTGGTCAGAGGGATTTCTGGAGGGGGGGCACCCAGGGAGATTTCCCACCTTCTTCCAATGGCTGCCCTCAGGTGTCCTCCCCTGCTGAGGGGCTCCTGTTAACTCCAAATGGCCCTTGTGTTAGGGCTATAACCTTTGGCCCATGTCAGAGGAACCCCAGATTCCCAGCCCTAAAAAGTCTGAATCTGGGCTGGGTACAGTGGCTCATGCCTAGCTTCCCAGCACTTTGGGAGGCCGAGGTGGGAGGATTGCTTGAGTCCAGGAGTTCAGAACCAGCCCGGGCAACACAGCGAGACCTCATCTTGCCAAAAAATTATAGAGAATGGTGTAATGAACACTGGAGATTCAGAAAGGGGAAGGGAGAAGTGATGGAAGGATGAAAGAAAAAAAAAAATGACCTATCAGGTACAGGTGGGGGTGGTGGGTACAATTAAAGCCCAGGCTTCTTCACCACTCTGCAATGCAACCATATAACCAAACACAATTTGTACCCCGGATGCTATTGAAATACAGAAAAATAAAATTTACAAAATTAGCTGGGTATGGTGGCACACATCTGTAGTCCCAGCTACTCAGGAGGTTGAGGTGGGAGGATTGCTTTAGAACAGGAGCTCAAGGTTGCAGTGAGCTGTGATTGTGTCATTGCACACACCAGCCTGGGTGACAGAGCAAGATCCCCAACTCAAAACAAATAAATAAAAATTTTTTAAAATAACCTGAATTTGGGGCTGGGGGCTGCCACGTGATAAAAGGCCAAAACACTCTTGAGTTGGAAAAGACAAAGGCTAGGGGGAAGACATACAACCTTTCATGTGAGGACACTGGGAAACCAGTCAAGGCTGCATTAGAGGAAGGGTGCTGTCACTCAAAGACCTCATGCTGGCCTCACTGCCGGAGACTGAGGATCTAACAGCTCCAAATGAAAGCGGGAATCGGCCAGGTGCAGTGCTCAGCCTGTAATTCCAGCACTTTGGAAGGCCCAGGCGAGAGGATTGCCTAAGCCTGGTCAACTTGGTGAGACTTTGTCTCTACATTAAATCAAAAAATAAGCCGGGCATGGTAGCGCATGCCTGTAGTTCCAGCTACTTGGAAGGCTGAGGTGGAAGCATCGCCTAGGCCCAGCAGGTCGAGGCTGCAGGGGCCGTGAGCATGCCACTGCACTCCGGCCTGGGCGACAGAGTGAGACTCCAACTCAAAAAAAAAAAAAAAAGGTAGGAATCAATTCATGGGCTGTGGGCCTTCCCTGGAGGAGGTGTGAGGATATTCTGGACCTCCAGGGCTGCTGTCAGGAAACGCCCTCTTTCCAACAGCTCAGCGTCAAAGTCCCACGGTCCCTGGGGCAGGCCTCAGCAGCGGGCAAGGCCACTGAAACCATGGTCCAGTATCAGTTCCTCCTAGTCACCCCGTGCCAGGTCCTGAGGCCAGGCTGAATTTGTTCTTTGGTATCCTCTCACCTGGGTAATCGCGTTTCACTCTCCCTCTCCTGGCCTCTGACCTGACCATAATACTCCTGAACCCCAACCCCTGGGATCAGTGTAGTTGGTTTGGGAAAGAAGTAAGGGCTCAGGGCAGGGGTCCTCAACCCCTGGGCCCTGTTAGGAACCGGATCCTACAGCAGGAGGCGAGAGGTGGGCAAGTGAGCAAAGCTTCATCTGTATTTACAGCTGTTTCCTATTGCTTCTGCTACTACCTGAGCTCCGTCTTCTGTCAGATCAGCAGCGGTGTCAGATTTTCATAGGAGCGGGAACCCTATTGTGAACTGCACACGTGAGGGATCTACATTGATCTAGATTGTACGCTCCTTATGAGAATCTAATGCCTGATGATCTGAGGTGGAGCTAAGGCTGTGAGACTATATATTTCATTATACATTACGATGTAATAATAATAGAAATAGCCGGGCTTGGTAGCTCAGCATGTAATCCCACGCCTTGGGAGGCTGAGGTGAGTGGATTGCCTGAGCCCGTGGGTTCGAGACCCGCCTGGGCAACTTGGTGAGC